TTTTTCATATCACACATATATTACACCTTCACTGTACAAAAAACTCTTAGCTGTTAAATATCATCTTGTTTCCAAACTCATCTGGTTAGTTATTTGCTGTCATAGCTCTTACAGTTCTATTAACTATTGTCTAAGAATATGCAGCAGATTACAAAGAAAATAGTACACTATATTCCTCATATTTCCAATAACAAGGTGTATTCCAAATACAATTAATCTACACAAATAAATTTGGTAAGTTTTGGTTTTATGGAAGTAATACTTATCTTGCTAACATCCTTCATACATTTTTGAGCAGTATTGTCACTCAAAATTATAGAAATAATTGATAAAGAATCATTCAAAATTATGAACTTATCATAAAAAAAAAACATCACAGAGAGGGCGGCAACAGGATAAGATACCCACTGCACTCCTGGTACCAGTTAATACAAGTCCTACCACTGCCTCATAAAACAGGAAAAGTATAGCATAGTACAAGAAGATTTACAAAATGATGACAATGCATACAGCTTTTAAAATAATCTTGTATCCTTCTAATTGATAATCCAAGATCAAGAGAAGAACACATGAACAAGGTATGGTGACCAGTCCTTACTTCAACTTCAGATTGCTTAGTCAGTGACTTTTCAGCAAAGCTGTTAAATGATATTGCACATAATTTGGCACAATGAACATCTTAATAAATTCAGCATTTGCATATGACAGCCTAAAACTAAGCAAAGCAGAAGGAAGCAATGACTCTTACAGTAAAACCCTATACCAGGATAGGGGGCCAGGAGTGAGGGTATTAACAACCAAGGTCTATTGTACCCCAAGACCAGCAACCTTATATTTTATGCCAAGCAGAAAATCCATAGGGTTCTTGACATGTCATTTTAGTTATTGTACATAAAGTTATGAGGTGAATAATCACTGTTTCATATTAATGAGGAATGATTGACTATAGGTTCAAAAGACATTAATACTGCATTCAGAAAAGAAAATTGCCTTTTTTTAGAAAAAAAAAAAAATATATATATATATAAAAGGGAAAAAGAAAACCATAAACATATTGATTTATTCCCAAAATATACCAAGATTAAATAGAGATGAATCTAAATTAGACTATTTGCAGCAACATCACCTCTACAATCAACCATTCAGTGAGAAAATAAGATGATTATATACATGTAGTTACAGTTTTCTTTTAAAAATATATGAAAGGCAAAGAAGGCACACATTACCATAGCTGCTTCTCATGTAGCTCATGACATTCTTTAATTTCTGTCTAATGGAAAAGAATGATACAACTAATACAGCATTTTACATTTGACTGGAAGAAATATATTACCACACAAAAGTATAAACTCCAGTGTCATGGAGTTTTTAAAAAATGTAACAGAGCAATACCCTACATGAATTACACGTTGAAATCAGAGTGCTACTAAAAAAGTGCATATAAACTCATTTTCTTTCAAAGCTCTGTGGTTATAACTGTACGGACTTTAGGGGGATCCAGCTTGGTCGATGATACTGGTGCAGGTGGATCAGCTACAAGCCACGGGGACATTTGGTTCAGTGACGAGTTTGTATGGGTACTCTTGTTCATGATGTAGCTGCGACTGCTTGTTGCTGATGAGGACCTTGTTACAGGCTGGTTTCCAGTGAAGGCTGTTTCCTATAAAAGAAAATTTATAAATAACTGGAAAAAAATCATAAAAATATGACAACGAAATCAGAAACTGTTACAGTATTATACACAGACTTCTTCATACATACTATAAGCTTCAGAAGATATACTCAATTCCTTGTCTTGAAGTGAAAAAAAGTAATACTTGAATACTCATAACGGGGCAAAGGGGAAGAAAAGAGAGAGGGAAGATGGGGATGGGTGGGAGGGAGGGAAAGAAAGAGAGAAGGAGAGAGGGAGAAGCAAGGAGAAGAAAGAATGAAAAAGGGAGAGAGAGAGAGAAATAGCAAGAGAAAGAGAGAGAGTGGGAGAGAGGGAGGGAGGGAGAGAGAGAAAGAGGGAGAGAGAGAGAGAGAAATAAAGAAGGAGAAAGAGAAAGAGAGGAGGGAGAGAGGGAGGGAGAAAGAGAGCAAGAAAGAGAGAATATGTGTGACACACAAAACACATACAGATCTGAAATGTTAGTTATGACAAACTGCCCTGTTGCATTTCAAAGTCCAATGAAACAGGATATATGTATCAAAAGCATGAAATCCAGTAAATGTTTAAGTTTGATCCATTGCTGCCAGGAACATTTGATGTTCACCATGGTCTTGTTTTGTGAATTGTCTTTACACATAGATGGTTCCACAATTGCTCAGCCACCAGGAGTCAATTAGTAGGCTTATGTAATCTCACCTTTCCTTCAATAAAAAAATAAGATAGACTTTCAGTATCATTTCTGAAATTATGAATATTATAATGTTACAACCAATGCTGATAGCAATAACATAAAAAGTAGTATTTCCAATAATCAAAGAAAATAGTAAACAAGTGAGGTAGGTAGGATTAGTAACTGACCCCTTGGTGACTAAAAATAATGAGACCCATCGACTTACATACGACACCAGGCTCATAATCCTCCATTCAGAAGCAGATAAAAAAACAAAGAAAATTAAGTGGAGCAGCAACAATAAAACCACACAGTACCTGTGATGAAGCTTTCATTATTCAGAGCAGTCGAGAGAGAGAGAGAGAGAGAGAGAGAGAGAGAGAGAGAGAGAGAAGGGATGTAGGAGGGGGGGAGGGGAGAGAGAGAGAGAGAGAGAGAGAGAGAGAGAGAGAGAGAGAGAGAGAGAGAGAGAGAGAGAGAGAGGGAGAGAGAGGGAGAGAGAGGGAGGGAGAGAGAGAGAGAGAGAAGAGAGAGAGAGAGAGAGAGAGAGAGAGAGAGAGAGAGAGAGAGAGAGAGAGAGAGAGAGAGAGAGAGAGAGAGAGGGAGAGAGAGGGAGAGAGAGGGAGAGAGAGGGAGAGAGAGGGAGGGAGAGAGAGGGAGAGAGAGGGAGGGGGGGGGAGAGAGAGAGAGAGAGAGAGAGAGAGAGAGAGAGAGAGAGAGAGAGAGAGAGAGAGGGAGGGAGGGAGGGAGGGAGAGAGAGAGAGAGAGAGAGAGAGAGAGATTGATTGATATATATATATATATTTAAATGTGTGCTTGTTTGTGTATAACCTTAATGTATTTTTCTCTACTCTGATATGGTTGCACAATCCACATCAAATCCACATAAATATGAAAACATCATTACTGAAAAGAATTCCATATTTCCATACTCTGGAGAAAAAGAAGAAGAAGAAGAAGAAGAAGAAGAAGAAGAAGAAGAAGAAAAAAAAAGAAAGAAAAGAAAAGAAAAGAAAAGAAAAGAAAAGAAAAGAAAAGAAAAGAAAAGAAAAGAAAAGAAAAGAAAAGAAAAGAAAAGAAAAGAAAAGAAAAGAAAAGAAAAGAAAAGAAAAGAAAAGAAAAGAAAAGAAAAGAAAAGAAACACACACACACACACACACGTATGTATAATAGTAGTAGTAGTAATTGAATTACGGGCTATATTACCATGGGAGTACAACGACCAACTTACTTTATCTAAATCTTGACTGGCAGGGAGTTCAGGCGAGGAGAAGGCCGGGGAGCTGGCTTGGGAGGACGTGGTTGAGGTGAAAGAGCGCGGAGATTGAGGGGGAGAGGGCCCACTCTCAGCAGAGGGGTCAGAGGGAGCGTAAGGGGAGCCGGGGCTGACGTCCCCGTTGCCCAGGACCTCCTCAGCACCACTACTGGAGACCGCCTTGCTGCTGGCAAGGGTTGACGTGGTGGAGCTCAGGGAGGAAGGAGAGGACTTCACAAAGGGGTTTGAGATGACAGCTGCAGTGGTGGTGGACACACTGAAGGGATTATTAGTAATATTATTCGCAGAACTGAAAGGGTTACTAGTGTTAAAGACACTAGATGCAAATGGGTTGAAAGGGTTACTGATAAAGTTATTAGAAGTTGAGAGAGTTAAGTTTGTAGTAGCATTAGGAGAGGCAGTTGATGCATCTGTGAGGTCGTGGGAGGGGAATGTGAGGTGATCCAGGGGTGTGGTCTGACTGGAGGTGGTGAAATGGGTCACTGTGACAGGTGGGTCAAGTTGAAGGAGAGGGGATGAGTCCTCGCAAGACAGCTCCCTCTCATCCAGGCCTTCCAATCTATGCTGTGCAGGACTGGGTTTGCTGCCGCCATCTGCAGCACTAGCAGCACCAAGGGACAAGGTCAGCTTGTCACCTCCCTTTACGACATTAAGCAAGTAAAGCATCAATAAAACAATAAAAACTGCAAACAAAAATGGGGTGCAAACTAAAATATAAAAAGCAAAACAACGCATGAATTTCAAAACTAAAAATACATGACGGCAAAACATAAAAAAACTTCAGGGTCCAAATTTGCAACAAAACAACAGCAAGCAGACAATTCACATAAATCTCAAGCTCTCCTACTCACCACAGAAACAAATGTGGCCCCGTCAGTACTTCCACATACATCGGCATTGCCAGCTTTCTTTATACGAGACAGAGAACCACTGAAACGAAGATGACAGTAACAGATCCTTGAAACAGGACACCATATGAATATCAGTTAACAATCAATGCCCAACAAAAATCATCGTACTTGTCTGGTAATAAATAATATTTTCTGCTTGTCATCCTGCATTTTAACCACTAAAGGACAGGTAAGTTTAGAACATTTTTGTTGAACTCAAACAATTATTTCAGCTCCGATTGCTGTAATCTGGATGACTTTGTCTTGTTTTGTACAGGGTGTATTTTCTCTAAGAATGATAACTGCTGTTTTCTGTCATTTAGGGTTGACATAGTAAATTGTTGTTTTTTTTAACCTCTATAACATGCAGTCAATAAAGCATCCAAATCATATTGAATTATTCTTTAGCTGTGTTAATCTCTGTAAAAATGTTAGTATTTTAGTACTCAATTTTATTTGCTTGCAACACTTCAAAAATTATGGCATTAGAAAAAATATTTGAAAACGTAC